TATTCTATGGCACTCACAGAACATTTCTAGTGTCCACACCTTTTGTTTTGGCTTTGCTTACTTACTTTTCAACCTCGTCCATCAAGTCTCTATGAGCATAAGTCAGTAAAATCATCGTTACAGTCGTACCTAAATCTGTTCTATGGTTAATAAACAAAAAGTTCAGTTCAAAACTGTATAAGTTTATGACAATGGAATATTCAGTACTTGTTGTCGTTACATCCGGGATCGGAGAAATTCGAGAGGAACAAATGGTTACGCGAGCTATGGATATCCAAATACAAGTGCAGTTTCGATTTGCCACCCGAATCGACGGAAAATCGGTGAGCGAATTCGAAAAATGCATTCATTGTTTGTCAAAAAAAAACTTATCTTCATAACAAAACTTACGATCATACTTTCGAGGTTACTAGGTATCTAAAATGAACGTCCAATATACCCAGATACATTCTTCTCAATACTCTAACATCGAAAGCTTCAAGGATTTATAGAAATTAAATGCTCAAATTTTGGAAGGAGATTATTGAAACTTAGCTTAACGTCAGAAAAGAACGGATGGGATGGTAGTAATTTCTGAAACCATACATTACAGTTTTCATAATATTACTCCAGATTTTACTTAAATATGGGTGCATGAGGTGCGGAATATTTGGACCATCCAATGGAACATAAGGGCAGGAAATGAATTGAAAGTAAAGTCAAAGGTCATCATGAAAATACATCACAAAAAATTTGTACGTCCTTTTTTGCTTGCTTACTACTTAGCGCCCCATCGTTTTAACATGTTACTACTCTATTTCCTTTCATCCCTTTTGGTACCTTTTTTGGAATCTACTGATAGAAGCGTTCCAAACCCGTGGGCGCCAAGGATGAACGCAAAACTGGTCTAGTCCTCATCTCCGAAACCAGTATAAGTAAAAAATTCTTGTCGCTTTTGCTTTCTTGTTAGATGTTCTCAAATAATCCTCTTCTATTGCGATAGTCATAAGAGAGCGCGTTTCGTGCAACTTCAATTTTACTTGCTTTTTACAATTTTTTTCTTTAGCTGTAAAGTTTCACATCATTAGTGGCGAACAAATAGGAACTCTCACGGCCAACTTGTCAATAGTGCGCTTCGATGCAAATTATTTCCTTGGATTTCAATCCTATACACTGCAGTGTGCGGCTCGGAAAGATTATGATTGCTGAGGTTATAAGAAGGGCTTTTGCTGGGGAGATGGTGATAGGGGTTACTTGACAGCGAAGAATTTTTTGCTATGGTATCTTGAGGTTTTGGGTGGCAAACCAGCAAAAAAGTCCAAACTGCTAAAAAAAACTTTTGGTTGGTGACGCCATTCATGATAACTACATATCATGTATTTCATACAACTCTTTGACTGTGAAAGTTCATCTACATCTAATTCATCTAGTTCATCTAACGTTCATCTCTAAATGGCCAAACTTTGTAAATGATTACATAAATTTTCACTAGCTAATGTTCACAGAATGAAAAGGCGAAAAGAACTAAAAATGTTGTATAATTCAATTACTACCGCAACTATCTTACTTGAAATGTATCCTGAATTTTTCGAGTTGAAGAAAATTTGTGAATGTTTTGAGATTCTTCTGCTATTGGCTGCCCTGTGTCACTCTACCAAAAACTGAGCTCTCCAAAAAACGTTTTTGCAATGTCTAACATATAGAAAAATTCAGAAGGGAGAATTTAGAAGCACTATCACATTCTGAAAATTACTTTATTCGATTATGTCTGCTTTCTTTAATATGTAGAGTAAAGTAATAGTCGTTTGTTTTTCAGATTTTATTGTGAAAAAACTGAGATCGCACCGAATTTGTAACTATAAATGCCTCAACGAATTGATCTGTCCCCTTCCAAATTTTTTGTTAGAATCTGGTTCAGCAGCTTATAGTAATATTTTTATTCTAGATGTGAAGACATTCGGCAAACAGGTGAAAATTTTCATGCCGATGACAAAGTTCAATTCGTCATCGACGCTGTTTATGCGATCGCTCATGCTCTTCAGGTAAATTTTCCGTGCTAAACTCCAATCAAGAACTTTTTCATCAAAAAGTTTTCGTCAGGCGATGAAAAGCACTGTGTGTCCGGATGACGCCATCGAAACGTCGTGGATATCACGTTACTCCAAAAAGCCGGATATCTGTCATGCGATGCAGACCATAGACGGGGACGAATTTTATCAGAAATACCTTCTGAAAGTTCAGTTTCAGGGTTGGTCGAGTTTTTCTTTTT